AAGAGAGTAAAGGGAAGTAGGTTCAAAGGACAGATAATTAAACAGAAGTGTGAGGGAAAAAGAATAGTAATATGGAAGAACAATAGAGCTCTATTGGATATAATAAATCACAAAGCGTGAATGCATTTGCGCCATTGAGAACGATTTTGAGCCATATCACCAACTGTCTCCAGCCAGCCTCTTGACGTGGCTTAAACTGACTGTTATGGACTTTATTGACTGATGCAATGTTTAGGTCAGACCAGAACTAGCTATTTTTCCCATCAATGGCTAGACGTGTATAAAACATGTCCTAACTATCTCAATCAATGCAGCTGCTTCACGACCTCGTAGATTGATTTTCCCTCCTTACGTAGCACTCGACCGAAGCCTAACCAACTCAATATTAATCACCCTATTATGCCAGCTAAAACGGGAGATAGAACGCAGGCATCTATGACCAAAGACAGATAATTTTTTCATATCTTCCACTTTAAATGGCCATGTCTCATAGCCATGAAGGGGGACGGAGCGAACTGTTGCTGAGAAGTACGCATGTCCTTTGGTCGACAGTCAGATATCACGTCTACGCCAGAAGTAGCGTAAGTTGGAGTATATCAAACGAGCCATTTGTATTCGTGCTGTCATTTCGTCAGCGATCTACCTGCTGAGGACTGTTGCAACTTTCTATATAAGTTGCCATATTCCATGTGGGACACAAATAAAGAGAAAAGACAGAAAAAAAAAGAAAATTCAAAAGAACTATAATAAGCAGAAGTGTACGAGAAAAAGAAGAGTGATATTGAATACTATGATGACTTACTGGATCTCAGAGATAACACAGAGTGAATGCACCTACACCATTAAGTCATATCATCAATACTCTTAAGCCATTGATTCCTAGCACTCCAAGGTAGGTCCCCAACCAGGAAGTCTATATTTCTCAGTGTGACTCAGACCAACTGTCAAAGACTTTATGGATTGATACACGAAAACCATAGAGACAAACCCTCGAGTTTCGATCGCTAGTTTGCACAGATTTAAACTCCATATTCCGATGAATCGAGTACATTGTTAAGCATCGTACAATTGGAGTGATCTAGCAACCAGAGTACTCAGTAACAGATGGTCATTGATATTTATTTATTACTATTATCATAATTAATACATTTCTATTGTGTTATATTGTAAGTATGATTATAATGAAAGCCAACACTTTAAGAGGACTTTACCCCTCAAATTATAACTTTCATGTTTAAAAGAGTATAAGACAAAATATACAGTGGATAATATGGTGTTAGAGTTAAGTGCAAGCTACTTCCTGGCGATAACGAAAAAACATGCAGCATTCTAAGAATATTCTCAGTTCCAATAAACCCAGTTTTGTAAATATAGAGAGGACTCATTTTCTATACTTTACAACACACTTAACATCTTTATTTATTTATTATTTATTTAAACGCATAAAAAACTTGGTACAATATGGCACCAAGAAAGATGCGCCACACAATAATAATAAAACAACATAGATCAAAAAAAGGAAGGAAGGAAAAGAAAAAATATATATAAGTAGAGAACGGATAAAGAACTTCATCTGGAAGGAAAACAGTCATGCTTAACAAGTTCAAACAGTGTTCGTTAGCTATCATCGGGAAGGGAAGAAAGAAGGAAATCGCAACACATTCGCCACTGATTACGATTCTTGGCCATATCCGATAACGTTTCGAGCCATCGATTTGAGCTATCTCTCGGACCCCAACCAGGGAGTCGTGACACACCAACCGATGCTAATCTAGCACAAAAATCCTTCATCCCACGACGCCACGTCATGGACTGACCACCTCTCCGCCTTTTCCATCCCGTCCCAGGGCTAGCGAACAGAGACCTGTACGGAAGCCTCTGGGGTGACATTCGGAGCACATGTCCAAGCCACCGGAGCCGGTGTTTCCAGATGACGACATTCAATGAATGGTGATCTCCACTTTGTTCAAACACACGCCGCCGAACCTCAGAATTACTCACGCGATGATGCCATCGAACGCAAGCAATCCTGCGGAGACAGCGGTGATCGAACACGCAGAGTCGCCGCACATCCTCAGCTCGGAGAGGCCAGGTTTCACAGGCGTAGAGCAGCGCAGCCCGCACCGAAGCATTGTATACCCGACCTTTGACAGCCAGGCTAACGTCGCGACGGCGCCATAGGTGGCTCAAGTTGATGTATGCCACCCTAGCCTTCATTATACGGTTGGAAATCTCATCCGTCACCCCTCCGCCAGCACTCACACAACTACCCAGGTACACAAACTTATCAACAACTTCAAGCGGTTCACCCGCAAGAGTGAGTGCAGGTACAGGCTCCTGCCAATCTTGTAACAGTACTTTGCACTTAGACGGCGCAAAGCACATACCATACTTACAGACACTGATCGCCAACTGATTAAGTGCGATTTGGGCAGCCTGCATGCTATCGCACAGTAAGACGATATCGTCTGCATACTCGAGGTCGAAAAGTCTATCTCCAGGTAGCAGATCTACACCACCTTCACGCACATCCTTCAGAGCTGACTCCAGAATGTCATCGATGGCAAAGTTAAAGAGAAATGGAGAGATTGGGCAACCCTGTCTAACCCCACTGTTGGTTGGGAACAGTGGTGATAGTTGGTTGTATGCCCTCACTCTACCTGAGGTGTTTCTGTATAGGGCTTTCAGGATGTTAACAAATTTCTCAGGTACACCTCTCTCTAACAGACAGTTCCAGAGCACAGTTCTGTCCAACGAATCGAAGGCAGCCCTAATATCAAGAAACACAACGATCGTTGGCCTGCAATACGTGTGGCGGTGTTCCAACAACTGACGAAGGGTGAACACATGATCAATGCATCCACGACCTGAACGAAACCCAGCCTGCTCTTCGCGAATCAATCCTTCACGTATTTTGCACAGTCTGCGAAGCAAGACAGCAGCCAATATTTTAGACGCGACTGGTAACAGACTGATACCCCTATGATTGTCACACGAATTACGTCGACCCTTTTTAAAGATGGGGACGATAATGGCTTCGTTCCACATTGATGGTACACTCTCTGTCTCCCACACCTTCCTGAACAACCCAGTTAGAGCCATTGTGAGAGTCTCGCCACCATCTTTAAAAAGAGCCGGGGGTAATTTGTCTGGGCCGGGCGCCTTATGGCGTTTCAGAACTTGGAGTTCCTTACGGACCTCCGCTTCGGTGGGTGGGTCGGTACTAACCGACCAAGGAGCACTCGGGCTAATGATAGTAGACACTGAAGCTGGTGGCCAGCTGAACTGCTTCCCGAAGTGCTCTGCCCAGCGTTCCAGGCGTCTTTTCAGGCTGGTAATTGGAGTGCCATCTGCCTCACAGACCGTCTCGCTGACACCTTGTTTCTTGCTGCCGGTGGCTCGTATGAGTTGGAACAGCTTCCGACTGTTGCCAGATGCAGCAGCTGACTCCATCTCACACGCACGTTCTGACCACCAGGCTTCGCGGTCCTTACGTAAACACTGTCTAATCTTGCGCGTGAGCGCCTTTCGCTGATTGTTGTATTCGCTGCCAGCCGGAATGGACCGGCGTTCATCCATGAGTTGCAAGGAACTCGCAGAAACCCAGTGGTTGTTAGCGGAGCATTCTTTCAAGCCGCAAGCGGCTACACTCGCCTTTTGCATGGCACCTTGCACATGAAGCCAATGTTCATCTATACTACTTGGGGGGTTGCTGGCAAGCATTGTTTTTAACTCATTCTGATATTTCAAAGAAGTAGCAGGTGCTACTAGTTTGCTCACATCAACGCTTAGACGACGGCTTTTACGAACCCCACCAAATCGCAAGACGAACTTGGCACACACTAACGCATGATCGGAGTCCAGGCATGTGCTCCAGAAGGAGCGACAGTCTTGTATGCATCCTCGCCACCGGAAACTGACCGCGATATGATCAATCTGAGTCCAAGCTTGCTTCGCAGAGGGAGGACGCCAGGTAGCGCTACGGCGATGGCTGTGCCGGAAGTTGGTGCTAGCTAGAAATAGGTTGTGATCCGCGCAAAGCTGCAGAAGACGGTCCCCATTATCTGACCTGCGACCATGTAGTCCCCACTGACCACCTAGACGATTCTCCTCTGAGCTTAGACGCCCTATCTTACAATTATACAAAACAGCAAATAAATTAAAATTGTTGAAGTAAATTTCAAGTCATGATACGTGAACCGATGCTAAATGACGATTGATAGCTAGAATTAAAATTCGGAACTCCCCATCCTAACACCCATTGTTTCATACTACAGTGTTATCCATAAAGCTACTGAGTAACGATGGTCACCTTTCTTGCAATCAATATACTTACTAATATTTGTGATCTCCTGTTGTTTACTTCATCTGTCGGAGATGTGGCTCATTGGCTCATAGGTATTCGAATTTAAGTGAGTGTGTCAGGGGGTTGAGTCATGCTCAACTTAATTTAGCTTTGGTGAATAGGTAGTATCATCGACCCTCGTACAGCAAGTGTGGCTCATAGCCTGGCAAGTGAAAAAATGTATCTCGGGTAATTGAACTCTAACTTTATTTAGTGGAAGAAACAAATAATCACTTTTAGCACATAGACTGAACACTACGTTGGCAAAAAGATGCGAGATTTTCCGAGGAAAAAAATCTTTAAGGTAGGGTTTTTCCACTGAACATAAGAAAGGATAAAATCGACATCACATGGCAAAAAGACTTGTATACATTTCTCAGCTGTATGTCTGTCTGTTTTCGACATAGAACTTTGCACAAATGTGCGGAAGTTCAAGTCGCCACAATCCGTGTAGCACGCGAAGCAAGAGAAGAAAGTACAAGAAAAGCATAATACAAACAGTGAGCAGAGGTGTGAGACAAAGGAGTAATAAAGAAAAACAAAACAGTTTCATTGGAGATCATAAGTCACAAGGAGTGGGTGCATCTGCGCCACTGAGAACGATGAGTTTGAGCCATGTCACCAATTGTTTCCAACCATAGATTTTTACCGTCCCGAGGACCCCAGCCTGGAAGTCTATACCTTTCTACGTGGCTTAGACCAACTGTTGTGGATTTCATTGACCGCCGCTAGCTTTTTTCCAGCCTGACCCTATATCCGCTAACATAGCTCATCGAGGGAGGCGATGGCTTGGCATACGTAACACATGTCCTAACCATCTCAGTCTTTGTAGCTTCACGACTTCATCGATTGATTTCCCCTGTTTACCTAGAACTCTACGCCTAACCTCCATGTTGCTCACCTTATTATGCCACTTTACACGGGAAATAGAACGCAGGCACCTATGATCAAAGACAGCTAGTCTTTTCATGTCTTCCACTCTCAGTGGCCAGGTCTCACAACCATAAAGGAGGACGGAGCGGACTGATGAGCAGTACACCCGCCCTTTGGTCGATAGTCGAACATCTCGTCTACGCCAGAGTCGGCGTAAACTAACAAATGCGAAACGAGCCCCCTGTATTCGTGCTGAGATTTCGTCAGAGATCAGCCCGTTGGGGCTGATGGTACTTCCCAAATAAGTGAAGCGGTCAACGTGCTCTACCACTTCACTTCCTATTTTTAAACTAGGCGTCGATGTAGTCCAGTCCTGTAACATCATCTTGCATTTGGTGGGAGCGAATCGCATCCAAAACATTCGTAGATTGCGGCTCAAGGTGTTTAGAAAACTCTGCATTTCGTCAGCGTCTTCGCCTAGAAGGACTATATCGTCTGCATATTCCAAGTCAACGAGATTATTCCCTGGTAGCAAGTCAATCCATGAGTCGCTGAAGTCACTTAGGGTTAAGTCCATTAACACATCTATGATGAAGTTGAATAGAAGAGGGGATAATGGGCATCCTTGACGGACACCACCAGTCGTCACCACTTCAGATGACAACTCGCCGTAAGCCCTCACCTGGCTGTATGAGTACGATTAGAGTGCCTTAATCAGTGCAATATATTTTCTCGGAATTCCCTTTACAGCCAAGCATCTCCAGAGAACTTCCCGATCGACAGAGTCGAATGCCGCCTTTAGGTCAAGAAATATAATGACTGTTGGACGCCGGTAGGAATGACTATGTTCTAGAATCTGTCGGAGGGTGAAGATATGACCAATACACCCTCTTCCTGGTCTAAAGCCTGCCTGGCTCTCTCGTGTTTGTGCCTCCCGAGCACCACTTAGTCTACGCATGATTACTGAGTCTAAGACTTTAGATACTATATTAGTCAAGCTAATCCCTCTGTGATTATCACAGGAAGACTTGTCTCCCTTCTTGTATATGGGGATGATCAGTGACTTACACCAACCCGATGGGACTTCTTCTGATTCCCAGACACTGCTTAGTACCTCAGTTAATCCAGACAGCTGAAAAGAAGCAGGGTGTTTTAGACAGCTTGGTTGACTAAACAAGGATTTTCGAGATCCATTTCTTACCTTCCTATAAATAATTAGTGTACATGAGTCCCTCTACACAATCTGAATCGATTAAAGAGGAGCACACACACTACACCATATTCTCCTCTTAGCTGTAATATATTACTATCTTATAATGTTTTGCTTTTTGGAGTTTGAAGACTTATGAAAGCATTCAATCTAAGATAGGTGCAACAGGTTCCCAAATTGCAAACAGAGTTTAAGACGATGAGATGAATCGTCATCTGCGTTAATCACAACTGAAAACAGACTGTTTCCCAAGTTAGCCCAAAAATATGCACGACAAGCTAAAATATGAAGAACTCAGGGATGATGCTCAATTTAAACAAAAGTCTAGCTTACTTCTCTAATTTGTTTTAACCATTCACTGAAACTTAAAGGTACACGTTCTCCATTTGTTGCTACGGTCGATGATGATGACGTTGATGACGACGCTTGAACTGTTGCACTGGACGACGATGGGCTCGGATTTGTAGGATATGGCATAGGATAGTAAACAGGAAAACACAACCAATAGGCAATTTGAGGTGTTGTAGTATCAGTGATTTTAGAAGCAGGAGGAGAGAGGGCAGTAGGATACATATATGGCGAAATTCCTGGCCAAATATATGGATTTACATTTCCCATAGGGCTAGAAATATTTCCTTGACTTGTAGATACTGAAGTAGTTGCAGATGAAGGTGGGGCAGTAGTGCTAATTACTTTTGATGGTGGATTCACATTTACGGATGATTTGTCTGATGGTGCTGATGAATCACCAGAAACAGGATTCTGTTTACTAGCAGACGGCTCATCTGACGCTTTTTTACTGGCAGTCTCCTCTTCACTCTAAAATTAAGAACAGTAAACATATATTTTCATGCTAAAAAACAAGCCAAGTATGCGGGATATTGTACAAAGAGACAATCACGCCACAACGAATCGGCTGAACCCTCGCCCCTTGAAAACCATATTGATGGTCACGTATTTCAGTCAGCTCCAATAAGCAAACTGAACGGTAATGGTAAAACGGCTAAGGTTCAGTTGAGTTGACGAACTTCTTTGATCCCCTACTAAACTTCCATAAAGGTACTTTAGAGTGATTTACTGTCGTTTTGGTTTCTACAGTAAATACGTAGGTGGCACCTATTATACTCAAGGATATATTTTGTTCAAAAGGTATCCTGCATAATTTTGACAGTCGACACCTGCGATCTATCTTGACTTAACAATGAAAAGTGTAGTCAGCAAAATGAACTTGGTGGGAATTTACGGGACTTTGTAGACGTACTAGGAAGACATGACAACTTTTACTTAGACAACACGGTTTTCAAGTTTTATGAAAATGATTAGTATAGAACTCCCTTAATCTAGGACCCATACAATTTCAGTAATCTTTTAACAATTACAAGGTAGGTTTGTCTACACACGGAAAACTGTTTGAAGAAAAAAGAAAAGCAAAATGTATTGAACAGCAGCTTCTCGCAGACTTGGGACTCTTCATAGCGTTCAATCACTCAGTGAAATATGACCGCCAAGACTTGAAGTGATCATATTATTATTGAGTCAGATGGTTGTAATCTAATAATCTAACATTCTTTTTGTGGATGTCAAACAGTGATGAAGATATAACATAGACCTTCTTTTATATTAACGTACTTATTATGAAATTAGCATAGAGGTAGTAATAGAACAAAAGCATCAACGTCTTACCATCATAGATATCTGAGCTGCAGCTTGACTGACTTCTTTATTCATAGACGAAGAAGCAGCTGTTAGAGGAAGAAGAAGATTTCCAATCGGTCCACACGTATTGCAAACATAACTTTGTGACCTAGATTTAAAGGAAAAAGAAAAAATAAATTAGCAGCTTCCAGGTGTAATGAAAGAAATATCCTATAAAAACAAACAGATTCATATTCAAGTGTTGATTTGCAGGGATCTGATTGGCTACAGGATTTCAGCATGAGCTAACACACCAGGAGCTGTATGGTGTTCATTGATACTACTTGTCCGTCCAACACTTCACTAAACTAAGGCTTCAAAGCTATTACAATTACGACTTAGCTATTTAGGGTGTGAGTGACCTCCTGTAAAGGAGTGATACATAACTAAAATAGGTATTTTATTGAGTGATTGAATATAGTTGACTAGATAAGCAACACTGTTTATGAGTTAGGGTACTTATAATTTCAGTACACTGTGCTTTGATAACTGTCAGTTGCGACAAATTAGAAAGAAGTTAAATTCTTATTTATGAAGAACAGAAAAGTAACGCGGTTTGGTGTCTCCTGGCATGTGGTGAGATTTGGTTATACAATTTAGAAAGTTGTAAGCAACATGTTTCAAAACTTAATATATTTCAACCAGTTTTTTCTCAAACTAAAATGTGTATGTGTTAAAACTATGTGATCACTATTGGTTTCAAAGCATTTGATGAGGTGACTGAGATACATGTCACAGACACACACGGTAAATTATCGTTTATCATAATGCGCTAGTTTGCAGACGGAAAACATTAGAACATATGGCGCAATTCAGTAGATTGTGTAAGGAAATACGAACTTCTTACGATCTAAAGTGAGCCCAATATCAGAAAAAGGAAACCTCTGGCCACCGTCTAGAATGTCTATTAGTAGCTTAAATTAATTCTATAATATAGTGGTACTTCTAACTTTCTCTCTACCGTGTACTTTTTCTGTCGTCTTATTCTTTTACCTGCTGGTTGACTTTTATCTTCCTTGAAAAGAATCAACAAAGAAATAACAGTAACCTTAAGAGAAGTCAAAAAACAAAAGCTTGCTGTAGTATTATGAAAAACTTATGACATCTGATTCTAAGTGGTAAAATTGGGAACTTTAGCTGCAGTAAGACACCAACTTAAAGCAAATTGTCTTCGATATTTACTAACACAGGCGAAAAAAGTATAACAGTAATTTAATGCAAGCTCATTGAATGACCGACCGACTGGTTTCAACACAGAATTCTGCACAGATGTGCAGCAGTTCGAGTTGCTACACTCCCCAAATGTAGCACACAAAGCAACCGAAGAGAGTAAAGGGAAGTAGGTTCAAAGGACAGATAATTAAACAGAAGTGTGAGGGAAAAAGAATAGTAATATGGAAGAACAATAGAGCTCTATTGGATATAATAAATCACAAAGCGTGAATGCATTTGCGCCATTGAGAACGATTTTGAGCCATATCACTAATTGTCTCCAGCCATTGGTTTTTACTATCCCGAGCTCATAAAGAGCGCAGATTTGGCCTACGATTTGAAGAGTGAAATCTTTGTGCTCAAAACAGCAGGTGACTTAGCTGCTTTTTACCATTTTTAAACACCTATAACAACAGTCCTACATAAAGGTTTAATTAACATAGGAAAAATAGCGACAAAAAGGATTAACTAAAAACTGGAAAACACCATTCATGTTTCGATTCTTAAAACTCAAAAGAATAGAAAACTCTTTAGCAACTAATACGTTAATACTAAAAATATTAGAAATCACATATTATCTGGTGTCATTATGCAGAGGGTAATAATTACTTAAGAAGCCAGGCAATCTTTCAATGAATGAATAACAGGCTTAAACTTTATCCCAGCTTCTGAGTGTGACGTGATAAAAAAACGCACAAACATATCCCCATCATTATCAAAATACGACCTAGTGCTACCAAATATATATGAAAGTTGCCATAATTCATAAGTGAACATCGAGTTGGAGGTGATAACACAAATACATAAAAACCAGAGGATTAAAAGTTGTAGGAAGTAGATAAAGAATTTGATATAATACAATAAAGACGGAGACAAGGTTTTTATGTATCTACACTATCATGTTAGATTTTGAATATCACTAATAATTACTGAGCACTTTTGGGTGGTTGCGTTAACGATTACGCTACTCATACTAACAGCTTCATGAATAGGTAACGCACTTCAACTCTGACCATAATTTGTTCCACTCTTGCTAACATGGTATATCCATGTTGAAAATAGATAGGAATGCGTAGCATGTGACTTAACTATTTCAGGTGCTACAGGTTTATATTTTTCTCAACTGACCTGTTTCAAGTGGAACAATATACGCAAATTTGAAACTGCTAAGCCAAGTAAAGCCCATACAAATACTAGCAGTAAGCAAGGTTTCCTTCGCCTGCATTCTTTTAAATAACTAATTCTAATTTATTCAGATAAGGGCATTAATGTTTTATAAATTAAACTGACATAGGCACTAGCACTATAAGACGAGAAATTAGACTATGTGATAAATTTCTATACTTCAGTATTTCATCGGAAATTTGCCTAGCCATGTTCCTACATTTTACGGTGACAGTAAAACAAAAGTAAGTATCAATTTAGAGAACAAATTAACCGGACAAATTTATCCTGAAGGTAAATCAATCTTCCTTAAAACCATAAGACAGTGATTAAAGCTATTCGGGTGGCAGAAAGTTCTCCCCTTAAAAGATGTCTCTAAACTGAACCCAAGCATGAAATCCCTCAACACATGTTTCCATCGGTAAGACTTGTGCCATTATGCACGAAATTATTGTGTAAATGAATAGAAATTGTTTAGTGTAAGTAAAATTTGACATCCTAATCGTAGTAACCTCATAAGTTGTGAGTTCTTATGGGTAACCAACAATTCAGTCTTGAAGAAATAAGAGCCCACCTATACTTACTGACACAAATATTATTTTATAAACTGGAAAATTATGGAACCACTATGTGATACGATTCGATATGATCAATCGCTCAATAAAATGTTAAGAGAGAAATTATTCAGGCACATAAACTACTCCAATTTACATATTAATATATGAGGTGACAGCAAAAAAACACTCACATGCGAGCCAGCATCTGACGTTCTTCTTTTGTTTGATTGAGCGAACCTATTGCACCTACACCATGGGTGGGCATAAATCCTATGATTGCTAGAAGTGCTGTTCGTATGGACCATGAAGGTCTCCATGATTCTGGATGATATCCAGATATACTTAAGCAGATCTTCCGATTTATTTCAAAACGACCATTTGGCTGGATCAGAAAAATAAACGTTCGGAAAATGAATGTTTGTATAATATTGTAATGTACATTTAACACGACAGCATTCTACTCTTCCACAAGCTTTTCAATACTTCTGACCAGTGTAAAGCGAATGTCTAACATTTTGGAAAGATGCTTCTGTATCAGACTACAAAACTATACTTCCTTTCATTATGGACATTTGAATAAACCATACGCGAAAAGTCAAACTTTAACTCACAGATGTATGTGTGGAGTCCTCAAAAATAAACTTATCCAAATTTTACTACTATGTAAATAATGAGCATATTGTACACTACTTTGTTTTAACCATAAACTCTGTACTTTGACTTTACCTCGGGTTTTGAATAAATATATAGTTCTGCCTTCGACTCTCCGTCTTCTCCACCATCTCAACTGCCGTCGATCAATTTTAATCACCTGCTTTCTATTTTTGCAGGAGCACCGTAGTTCTTTCTACGTACTTTGGTCGACCTCCGGCAACGTCAAAATTGGAGAACTAGTACTGGAGCAGTCTTCCCGCAGCACCTGGAGTCTATAACGTTTATTGTGGACTTTGGATCTTTGTAAACCCAAGTAACCAAACTTTAATACATTCTTCCCGTAACTAAACTGATTTGGTACTTTATTTTCTATTTGAATTTGGGTAACTGAGCTAACCGAGTGAAAGGTCCACCACATATGATAGTCGATCTGAATTACCATTACAAAAGTCGACGTGATAATAACAGCCAGTTGGTTCAGTAGAACAAAGTACTTAGCAAAACAATCCTGACTTACTGAAGCTATCACGGGCTGGGAAACTAGGCAGAAATACCAAACAACTAATTACAGACGCCAGTTAAGGTACAGCAGTTTTTGTAACTTAAGCAGCTAACAACAGTTTTGCATAGTATTATGCCGACTAGGAATGCGATGTGTTAAAAGGTTGAGTAACCTAAATCCGGTATGTCACTATCACCAGTATATGAGATAGGAAATACTAAAACCAGTAAATTATAGGACAACCGTCAAGACTAATAGTGCAACCCAGTTATCATAAACAATTATAAATTCCGAAGGTCGCTTCCTTCATTGAGATTAATAAGCGGTTTTATAAAAAAATAAGCGTAATGTTTTTAAGTATGGGTATACACATGGTATAGCATGTAGCAAAATTCGACAACTTACTGTAAGTAAAACTATATTTGGAGGCTTCATAGGATATTCTGAAGGCAGAAGGATTCTTCCATGGTAGATTCCACCGTGAAAGTCAGATTCTTCCGGTCCCCTTATAGTAAAATGCCACTCAAACAGATTATCCTAATAAACTAGATTACAAAATTGTGTGATATGAACCTCTAGAGGTTTTGCGAAATACAGTTCCGTTGGTTCTGAAAGCTCCTGGGCTTCCTTCATTAGCCGTTTAACAGCTATTAATTAAGTTTGTTGGATAATGACGTCAACCTACCAGGATTACGCGAATTATACGTCACCGGCATAATTTTTCTAATTATTGTACTACCTGTGACCTTAGTCTTTATATCGTTAAAACAACATGCAATTTTACTGGCCAAAAGACAAAGGCGAGACGCTGTTTTTTATTGATTTTTGTTATTAGGAACACGCCTGCATTTTATTAACATTCTATGTTTCCTCTTTTATGTTCAAACGGTATTTGTGCACCTTTTTTTACCTGCTTCCTAGTCAAGCCACATGGCTAGGTAACATAATAAAACCCTTATGAGTGAATTTACAACAAACGAAGGCATTTTGCGGGACACTCTTGTTTACTGAATCTGTAGATGTCAATACGTCTATGAATTGGTGGATGACTCACAGATTCATTCTAGTTTTAACATTGAGGGCTGGCCTTCACTGGGAAGTTTATTTTCAAAAGCCATTGCCACTTCAAACGGTGTCATTGGGTGTTCAGCTGGAACTAGTAGACGGACAGAATCATCATTTCAACCGACTTTCGGCTAATTTACAGCACTTAACCATCAGCATATAACTTGCCGTGCATAATCAGTAGTAATAATAATAATGTATATTCTCATATAAACATATAAATTTACATGAAAATGCATGCCATTTTTACAGGCACGATCAAGTATGATATAATATCAAATCGTAGATTGTCTACAAGTTAATAATGTTTCAACAGTTAAATATTTGATATATATATATATAAATACACATTGTCAGAACTCGGCTGTATAGTTATTGAATTGTACAATTGTCCTCCAGGTTGAGCGGGAAAATGGACTTCGTTTCGTTTTCATCCCGTGGTTGTCGGCATACGATAACCAACCAATATTGAGGTAAGTACAACGTTTACAAGGGATTGAAAGCTGTTTTAGAAAAGTAAAAGTGCTGAGGTGAATCATTAAATTGTAATGAAATAGGTAAGTGCAAGTATCATTAATAAATGCATTAATAAAGAAAACTCCCTAGGCTGACAACGTTCATTTGCAATGTATAATGCTACACGTATATCTCGTACTATCATGATGTCCACTTTTGGTTTTAATACATTTATCCTCAGTTGTGCCAGTTGTTTTTGTTTTATACCTTTTTGTGCATTTAGTGTACAACCGTACCCTTCAGAGAGTAGGAATATAATAAGTCATAAAGAGCTGTAAAATGTTAGGTTTAATGGGATATAATGAGGATCAAGTAAAGACGTTATTGGAAAATGAATCCGATAAGACATTGTGAAGTGGTATTTAAAGATCTGACAATGGATGGCAAGTTAATTTATAAGATGCCCCATAAATCTGTGCAGATCCCGCGTGGTCGCGTCTCAACAATAGGCTGAGCGAATGGTATATTTAAAGGTAGAAGCATGATCTGTCAAGGCGTTCATTATTATCTTTTTCAAGATAAAGATCTAAGCCCTCATAAAAATCAGAAATATCTCGAGCCTTTAATTTGTATATTGCTGTTCCTGCAGAATGGGGCGATTCACCTTAGTGACCCCCACCATATCTACTGATCAGCTAACGCCACCCTCCCTCCTTTAGTGTTATTCAACACCTCTCAACTTCGGGACCTATAATCTATGATGATCACTGCAGGCCAAACTGAGAGTGGCTAAAACTGCCGATGCTATTTATTCACACCCGTCATACATCATTATCCTTTGGGTATTTCAGCTTCATGTGGTACTGGGGAACGAAAATAAAAACTAGATTGCAATTGACGATTATCTGTGTTTGATTACCGAAAATATTACAGGTCTCTACTCAAAAACACACATTTAGGATTCCAGAGAAAACTTACTGAGTTTAACTACTTTACTTAAATACGTTCGGCCAAATTGGTCAAACAAATTTCATGGACATTTGTCGTTGGATCTTAATTATGTGTTGCGAATATGCCAACATTCGACCGTAGATAACATTACTGCTGATTATATGGCAACCGGCAACGATATATCTGCGCCTTTCCCACATGACTGACTCCCATGCATGTTGGATATGATGCAGCCAACAGAGAGAGAGAGAGCAAAGAGAGCATATCATCCCCACACTTATCTCAGGATAAGAAATTATAGAGGTGCACACTCACAGGACAATGAAACCACCAATTTCTTTTCCCTTAAGCCTTTACTTGTTAGCGACACCCTTCCCTGAACTTCGGATGTAGAGATTGGTAGGTCCACATGTGTAGATAAACCGACTGATGCTAAAGCGTTTCTCCGACTCTCTGAGATATCTGAAAGTTGCGTTGTACTGTATCTCATCATCCTATCTACCTAATTAAAACATTTTCTTCCTTATTAGGGCAATGTAGGGTGTGGCGTCGACATGAGGCTAAGTTGGTCTAGACCTAGGAATAAAGCGGTTCTTCGACATCGTAGATTGCCACGAGGAGGCGACTGGTTTGGTCTTCGTTTAGACCAACAAGTGAACAATCTTATAGTCCTTCACGTGATCTAAAACACCAGCCTCCTGGAATTCCTGAGGCCTAAAATTGATATTGGCTCAGCTCTTCTCTTTCCATATCACTGGGTTGTGCAAGCTGACACTCTCGTTAGCCAAATTTCCCTTCATTTCTCATAATTGAGTCAGTCCTGCGCTCGGTATTTCATACAATACACGTATGCATCAAAGTTTTAAAAGCCTAAATCAGTCAGTTTTCGAAACTGGAAAGGACTGGTGGATATGTACCCCTCTGCACATCGTTTTTCAGCATAAATGGATAATTTTCATCGAATTAAGGCTAAAAAATATTACGATAAAGCCTAATGAGGATGGTTTACGTGTATCACGCATTCAACCTCGGATACTCATCACATTAAATAGGTAAACTAAATGGCAGTTGACTCACTTTCTCTCGAAAGAGGCTACAGTCAGTTTCTAGGTCATGATGAGTTCCTGCGTCGGCTAGTTATATGTTTTCGTGTATTCGTTTTCCATTGAATTTTAAAGGTTTTTCTGGATGTTTTGCTCATTTTGCAGTGTGTAGGTCAGTTTTTGTCACTGGATGCTACTAGTTAGCTTATTTTTAGCCCGAAGTTCCCAGTTATTATGTTGCTAGTCAAGGATTATGGTAAACCTGCAATCATTGAGCCAATTACCGTATAATAAGCGAATATAGTAACATTATTTAATAAGTAAACTCTCTAAATGTTTTGACATTGTTTAACAGTGAAATTGTGCGCTGGTTTTTAGCATAAGTGACAGTAAATTGGACCTACTGGGTTCGCTTATCAACGTTGTTCCAGCCCTCACAGGACATATTAAGCATGGACCAGCGTTACTTCAAAGCGGAAAGTTTTGATTTAGCACGCAGCTCCCTTTTTAACCACGACCTGTGTCATTTCAGAACATAGTGGGTAAATAAGTTCTTCAGTTACCATAAAAAGGCATTATCAAGGAATAGGTTAGAATAAGTTTAGAATTGTTGTAAGCTTGGTGGTGCTACGGTCTAAGTGATAAATTGTATTAATCACCGTTATCCAGGATATGCTATGAACCGGAAATGCTCATATTAGTTTGATTATTAAGTGTATCACACAGTGAAACAGTATTGTATACTGGATGACGTTTCGAACACAATTTATTGTTCATAATCATATCAATTTTTGTCACACGACTTCGAGATTTGATTTTTATAGTTTTCTCTGTCTTCTATTTGTTGTATGGGCAGTAGAATTTTCCATATATCTGGGACAGGTGTTGAATCATTCCTATTACATGTATTTGCAGTTGATTCGATAAACAAAGCTTCTGTTATCAATCTCTCCCTATACCCTGTGACATTAGATTTTAAAACTGTCATCCTATCCCATCCTATTGTATGGTTGTGTGTAACTGCATGTAGTGCTATAGCTGAACTACTCTCTAGATTTCTTATCTTATTCGGGTCAACCAATCTAGATTTAGCTAGGTTTTTATGTTCGGCTAGTCTGACTGCCCCTGTTCTACTAGTTTGACCTATGTATTTGACCTCACAATCATTGCAGGGTATTAGATAAACTAAATTGTTTTGTTTTAATGGCTCTACAGGATCCTTTAACCGACAAAGCTTGTTTCTAATTGAGTTTGTGGGTTTGAATGCCACTTTTATTCCTGCCTTGTTAAGAATTCTGCGTAAGGCTTCCGAGGTTCCTTCTTTGTATGGAATTATTGTTGATGATTTACATTCCTTATTGCTGGTGTCGTATTTTTAACATTCGATGCTTAAAAAATGAAATCATTCCTAAATATCTACGTCTACGAGCTCCAGTTCCAACGGACAGAGTTAGAAGCAGAATAGAAAGTCTACAAAAATTATGCCTGAAAGAAGAGATCCACAGAATCGTTAGAAAATTACAACATATCAGATGTGAAATTGAGCAATTAAAACAAAAGCTAAAAGGAATAGTTACCAATGTAGATTATGATCTTATAACACAATCCTCCAACAATGCAAAATCAGCCACTTTCAAAAAGTCAAAAAATAGTCAAATCAAAAAGTTCAACAAATTATTAGAGGAGAAATCTTCATCTCAGAATAATGAAGTCAACAATCCAAAATCAACGGCGATCGATAAATCAAAGTGGGTTATCAATCTCTCATCACATATATTAAGTCCGATGGAAATAAGTGTATTAGAAAAGGGACTAAACTTCAATGTAGCGGTGGACAAGCTAAAACCTGAGGATGTCATCCCTAAAATAGAAATAGCACTAAGTGGGATAGACAAAACAACAGCTGAAGAAGTACGTGCACAATGTGCACTTACATTAAAACGACAAAAATGTGGAAAACCTAACCTGACAAAACAAGAGACAGAAGCCCTAAAACACCTCAAGAATAACAAGGATATAGTAATCACAAAGTCAGACAAAGGGAACGCAACAGTAGTATTAGACAAATCGGACTATTTGGACAAGGTAAATACTCACATACAAACAGGACCATATGAGGAAATTAATAAATCAATAGACACAGTTATGAATAAAGTTAAGAAATCCACAGCGGACCTTATACGCCGAATGAAGCCGTTTCT